TTCTCTGTGTGTGTATAAGATGTTATGAAATATGTGGCTAAAGGCCATTTTCAGTCCCATTTAATGTTTTAAATGCATAATTTACTGTTCTCTTCTGTAGCCGTTTTGCTGGTCCTGTCCGAGGTCTGACTAGTACTCATCCTAACACTAAGCGTAGTTTAGCATCATGCCGTTAATTGATAGCCTGACTGCTAATTAGTCTATCTTGCAGTTCAGGAAAATATTTCAATAAATTCACAAATGAAATGATAACGTCTTTATCTTGACACAGCACTTCTATTTTTCCAGTTACCAGGCGACTAAAGTCGATCAAAAACATCCAGAAAATTACCAAGTCTATGAAAATGGTGGCAGCAGCGAAATATGCGCGGGCTGAGAGGGAGCTGAAACCAGCCCGAGTGTACGGAATAGGATCCTTGGGTAAGAGGAGGCTGCGATTCACGGGTAACGAAGAAGCTTTTAGCAGAGAGGTCACTGTTCAGGACTTTTATTTGGTGCTCACGTGATGGCCGGTCTGCTCAGAGTACTTACATGCAGCAGCCCAGGGCGGTGGCGGGAGCTGTTAGGGCCCCTGCTTTGCAGATGAGAAAAACTGAAGCACACTGCAGTCTAACTGCACCTGTGTGGCTTGGCACCAGAGCCTGCCTATTAATTGACCACTGTTATGTGACTGCGTTTACGTTTAAAATATTCTGGAAACTCCCAGTTTATTGAACATGCCATCAAAAGAACTTGGAAATACAGTGCATCCAATGCAAACACTTGATTTCATCCTGTTGCACCGTGATGTGATCTTTTAGGACTGCAGGGTGGGGAGGGGGTGCCCTGCCGTGGAAGCTGACCAAGTGGTCTTGGGTCTGACTCTGAGCACGTGAGTGCAGTGTTTAAACGTCAGTGGTGAAGAGGGCAAAGTTTGCTCATTTCCAAATTGAAGAAAATATATCTGCATTACCTGTGTGTGAATAATCTGTGTATTAGATGTAAATTACCTGGTGCAGCAGTTGTCTTGTGCTCTTCATCTTTTTTAAACATGGATTTACACTGCTAAAGAGAATGCTGCTGAGAGAAAGACAGCACTGGGCCCCAGTGGAAATGGCTCCTTGCTTTCTGCCATGTTGAGTTTCATGGAGTAGGTGTGGGGAGACTTGCTGTGTTAGTTTTAGCCCTTCTTGTCAGTCCTAGCCGTTTGCTCTCACAAGTCCCGTTCTCTGCCCAGCACCATGGTAAGCACCTAGTTGGTGGCCCACTAAATGTTGGTTGGTAAATTAGCCTGTTTTTATTAAAAGGGGGAGGTCATTTATTATTCACCCTTCTTGCTGAAATGAGTAAGTGTGATAGATCTGTTTCCCCCCAAAAGTCTATAATCACCAAACTATCTAATAAAGAAGAAACGGGCTTGCGTATCTGATTAGAGTATTTGTGGTACAGTCTTTTAAATTACAAAAAATACTAACTGCTAGATATTAAATGGCTAATCATTTTAAATATTTAAGAACTTTTAAAGAGGCATTTTATGCTGCACACTATAAAACACAAAAAGAGACAAGTATTCTCTCCATCCTCCTGAACCTTGGAATTGAGTGTTTACTTGTCTGCTTTCTGTGGAAGGGCCTCAGGGATTGAAGTTTGAGAACCACTGCTCTCTACTGAAAAAGGTCGTAGTAGGGATTTGGTTGACGTGGGAGGACGTGGCAGCCATGAAGGGGCACTTCGCAGCCACGGGGAGCACTGCTGAGCCCACCCTGTGTTCGCACCCAAGCTGTGCTTCCCGGGGGCTGCTCCGGGCCAGCAACCAAGCACGGGAAGGATGCTCAGGCCGGCATGTTCTGGGGAGACTAGGGCTCTCCGGCAGCCCTGCACGGCGGTCCAGGAAGCTGCCACCCCACCTTTCTTCCCCCTGGTCAGACCAGCATCATGGGGTGATGCTCTTCTGACTCTCCTCCTGTTTTCTCTCACAGGCATTTCCTCAGTGAAATGTGTGGTATTTAATTCTATTTAAATTTGCCTCTTGGCTTCCGCTGCTAGGAAGACCGGACGAACAAAGTCAGGTTGTTACAGTAATCCCCAAAGTAAAGTGGCACATCCCTTGTTTTAACGTTAGCAGTTTTCAGTAAAGCTCGGTGTGCAGATTGTGCGAGCAATTCCGTAACGTTTGCTTTCTGCTTTGTCGGCTGCACACTGAAGATCTGCATTCTTTGGGAAGTTGGTAAATCTAAGTTGGCACTGGTGTAAGTCTGGCCTCTTTACAAGTTCTTTAATTTTTCTAGCCGTTTCTTTTAGTCAGTATTTAAGATAAGTTGACTCTTGGACCTTCATTCAGAGATTTAATCCTTTATGGTTTTCAGCCTGATAGTAAATGAAATAATTGCACTTGGTTATACTGAGGCGTCAGTTTGTAAATTAGGGATTATTGCTGTATTTAGTGTAATTATATAAAAAGTCTTTTTTTGTTTAAGCTCTGTATGAAAAGGCAGATATTAAAGTGCCTGAAGACAAGAAGAAACACCTCCTCATCGGTGTGTCCTCGGACCGGGGGCTCTGCGGCGCCATTCATTCCTCGGTTGCTAAACAGATCAAGAGCGAGGTGGCCAGCCTCACGGCGGCTGGGAAGGAAGTAAAGATTGTTGGAGTTGGTGACAAAATCAGGGGCATACTTCAGAGGTGACTGAAGTCTGTATTATTGATGTTCAAAAGGGTGCAAGTGTGAATAAAGGGAAGTTTGATAGTTTATTTAAGCAAGGTGTTTTTTTTTTTTTTTGGTTACCATTTTATACACACAGAAGGGTTTGGTTTTGTTTTTCTTTTCTCCATGACATATTAGAATGTGTAGATTGCCCTTGTTCTCCACTTGTCTTTTGCATCTCCTTCCAAACCGTAAATGGAATACACTGGGGCTATCAGAAGCTACTGACTTTTTTTTTAATGAGGACTCTGAGGAGCTCTCACAGCCTGGAAATGTCAGAAATGAACAACAGTTGATTAGGATTAGAAGAAGGGAAGTAAAGGCAGAGAGATGGAAGACAACAAAGGCCTGGTTGTCGGTCCTTAGTTCTTGGCAGGTGCTAAAGGGAAGGAATGATCATGACAGTGTATGAAACAACCTAATTCCATGAACCCCGCCCCCGCCCCAAAAACAACTTGATCCATAGTGAGAGTATTTTTCCCTGTGTTCTTTCAGCAGAAGTGTCCTGTTAAAGTATTTTATGTGATCTCTTCATTTTCCTATAGGACTCATTCTGACCAGTTTCTGGTGACGTTCAAAGAAGTGGGAAGGAGGCCCCCTACCTTTGGGGATGCGTCTGTCATTGCCCTTGAATTGTTAAATTCTGGATATGAATTTGATGAAGGGTCTATCATCTTTAACCGATTCAGGCAAGAAAATTTTTGAAATCTCAAGCTTTTTTATGTTTATGTTCAGATTTTTCAATTAAGGAAATGTCTGCTTAACAGTTTAGAGATTGCCTTGGGACTTACCTCTGCTTTTGCTGTCCCAGGTCTGTCATCTCCTACAAGACCGAAGAAAAGCCCATCTTTTCCCTTGACACTGTTGCAAGTGCCGGTAGGTTTTTGTGTGATGAGGCTTTTTCCTGTTGAAAGGAGAGGTTTGCACAATTTAGGGAAACATTCTTTGTCAGGATGGCTTTCTTCAGCAGTAGGAAAACGACGTTGGGCTGTTCCCATCACCATCTGTTAGAGGCTCCCGTGAAATCATAGTCCAGTCGTTGTTTGATGCCTCTTCCTCTATTTCTTGATTAATTAGATAAATAAATATCCATTGAGGGCCACCCATTAGATACGATTTCTGTCCTCAGGGGTTGGAAAAACTTGGCTAGAAACTGGCTTTGCAGTTTATGTATGGGAACCTTCTCCACCCACAAGACAGTCAGAAGCGCTAGAATGGAGAATTGAACTAGTTTACATTGAACAACTCAGTTCTTTTCTTTTGCTGTTTGAATAAAGTCATGACTGCGCAGTGAAGCATCCTGGAAGTAATACTCAAGCACTGATTGTGTCTCCCCCTGTCTGTGTATCTCATCCGTTCTAAGATGTGCACTTTTTTACACTTTAATGTCTCTGAAGTTAGGATGCTTCTCCCAGTCCCTGCATGTCGTTTTTAATTGACTGGCTTTTTCTCTTAATGGCACATAAAATAAGAGATATAATCCACTGTATGTGAAGTCTGATAAAACAGAGTACTGTCTCACCACTCTGCCCTGATGAATGAAGTTGAAGTGTGCTGCTAATTGTTGCAGTGTAATTACTAAAATGCATAGCGGCCTCTAGTTCTCCCACTCTTCACTGTTCTCAAGAGAGCTTTCCCTCCCTCGTTTTCCTGACACTTTCATATTTCTCCAGTAATCAAATGGCTGAACTAGGGTTTTTATATCACCCTGCATAGTCTCAGTTCTTCCCTTAACTTCATTATTGAACCTTCATGGACGTTGGGCGCTCTGTGCCAGGCGCTCTGCCGGACACTGTCCAGAGGACGTCGTAGCCATGAGATGTAGTGAGGCTGCTTGAAATGTCGGCTTCTTAAGTTTTATTCAGTAAAGCATCTGAAGTATCATTTTGCCAAAAATCTGCTATAATCTGTGAGATGGAAATAGATGAAGCTTCTAGGACTGAGTCTTTTAACCAGTCTCACATTGACTTGTCTGTAATTACCAAGGCCTTCCGTACTAGGAAGCCGTGTTGATTAACTCAGCGTTCGCACGGCGTAGCTTCAGGGAGATCCACCGCTTGCTTTAACAGAGAGCATGAGTGTCTATGATGACGTGGATGCCGACGTGCTGCGGAACTACCAGGAGTACAGCCTGGCCAACATCATCTACTACTCCCTGAAGGAGTCCACCACCAGTGAGCAGAGCGCCAGGATGACGGCCATGGACAACGCCAGCAAGAACGCCTGTAAGCGCGCAGCACACCCCGAGAGTCCCCCGCCGGGAGTGGCAGGGGGCCCCTCCTGGCAGGAGACAGTAGGGTCTCGAAGTGGGCCAGGAAGCCGGAGAGCTGGCAGCTGGTCCTGAGCTCTGCCGCTGAGTCTTTAAAGATAGAGAAGTAGTATTGTCTGCTGTCAAAGGAAGTGACATCTTGGTAGGCAGGAAGTGCACAAGTACTTTTTAAGGATATCTCGTGGAAGACAGAAAAATATCTTCCTAAAATTCCTCAAGCGGCCAATTTTGGTCCCCAAAAAGAAACCAAATCTCTTACTTTTAAATTAAGCTGCACACATCTATGAATGAGTTAGTGCCTAAGCTAATTCTTTCCTAAATTTAGATCTTGTCTAATCTTTTATTTTGTTCTAAGCTGAAATGATTGACAAGTTGACTTTGACGTTCAATCGTACCCGCCAAGCTGTCATCACAAAGGAGCTGATTGAAATCATCTCTGGTGCTGCAGCTCTGTAAGTAACTGTACTTTGCCCTTAGAGTTCTTTTCTCACCTGTGCCTGCCAGTTCAGCCTTTGCATGTTTAAGTTGTCCGTTTTGTCTGCTAGAGGTGACATGATCCATTGTTTAATCTTGTATCCTTAGTCTTAGAATATAAGGATTTGACAAAAATGGGATCTCTGGTTCCTTCTGATGATTTCAGCTGAAACATTCAGACTTTAGTTTCTTCCTTTTAGAAGTCAGTATATTGTACCTGTCACTTTCCTGAAGTTTTAGGAATAATGATACGGATAATTCATTATCGTTATAAAATCTGTCTTTGGAACTTAAAACATAAACCAAGCTTTCTGAGTTACAGGACTGGTTTTGGTTTTGGTTTTATATAAATCTATAAATCATTGAATGGAGGTAGGGTCCAGGAATTTTTAAAATTAAGTTTCCCATATCAGTACTGTATTACAGTGGTACTTAAAATACTACTTCCTTCAAGAAAATGTCCTGGTTGTCTAGCTACATAGTTAATTTTTGTGAAACTAGGTTTACAGTAATGGGAATTCTGTTTTTAAAATTATTAAACTGAGCCCCATATGTACCTCATTCAATGCTAGGCACAGGGTTAAAGGGTATGATCCTTTACATGTTAATACAGTAAGGAAAATATGCAGATAATTGTGACGAGAGATAAAATGTGTAGTAAATTATCTTTGACTCATTCTTTCTTACCTCCCAAAATTGGTCACCAAGTTCTGTAAATTTTACCTTCTAAACCTCCCTTGACTCCTTCCCCTTTGTGCCTTCTTAATGCAGATCCTTGTCATTTCTCTCCTGAGTTAAAAAAACATATTTTTTTAGCAGCACGCTCTTTTTCCTGAAATCCCACTCTCTTCTTCCCCTGCACCCTTGGTTCTGCAGCTAAGTGACTCCCATTTCTCCTTCCTGATGGATCTGGGGGAGCCTTCTTCCCAGGAACCCCCTCACGGTTTTCTGGGGCAGCCTTCTTTAGCCTCTATCGCAGCACTTAACACTGCGCTGTTAGGAACTGCCCACCTGTCTGTCTGAACTCCTGCGGGTTTTGGGCGGGGGGCGTCTCATCCGCGTCAATAGCCCCGACACCTGGCACAGACCTCCTCGGTAAATGCTTGTTGAGTCAATGAATGATGCACCATGAGTATTAAGGACTGAAAGCTCAGAAGAGGGGGAAATGGCATTTTACTGGGTGTAAGGAAACATGGGTCTACGTTTAAGAATCAAGGAAAGGTTTATTGCTAAGGTGACGTTTCAGTTGGTTCTTGAGTCTCGTCTCTGGAGGCTAGGAGTGGGCAGGACGCCAGACAGACATAGTAACCTGGTCGAGACCGTTCTGTAGGCTGTGGGTTGGATCGATCCGCTTTGCTGTCCTAAGCACCATCATCTTGTTCTGCTCTTGAGCGTGAGTTTAAGACCAGCCCCTCTGTCAGCCTGGTCACTACTGCACTGTTAGCGTCGCAGGGTCCAGGGCAGTGACGAGTGGCCCTGCCAGTCCTAGCTTGATGGGCGTGGTTAAGGTACTCTCCCTGTAACTCAGTTGTGTTCTAAACTCGGGGCTGATGCGAGGGTCCCGTAGAGTATTTTCACCCGGGCTGACCTCTCAGGTGGGGAGTGTGCGGAGGCCTGGGGGAAGGACTGCTCTGAGGGTCCCGGGGGCTGGGAGGTGCTTGGAATTGACTGAGGCTACAGCTTCTGCCAAACTGAGGACCAGGCTCTTCCTTGATTAGGAGCGTGGGAACCGGACTGAAAAGTAACAACCTCGGGGAAATGAGGGGAGGGAGACTGGGACATAAAGATCAAGAATTTTAAAAAGAATTTAAATGACTAGAAATTGATTAGTTTTCACTTTCTAGAAAGGCCATCTAAGTCCTTTGGTAAAAGCTGGCTGTGGAGCCCCACAGTGGACAGTTTGCACGGACGGACTTGCATGCCCTGTACCCTGTCTGTCCTGCTGCTTAAACAGACATATATTGTATTAAATATACAAAATGTGTTTGCATTAAATATTTAATACAGACACATTTGGCTATTTGGTAATAAAATAAAAGGCATGAATAAACCATAATACTTGACATGCCAAGTATTTGCTGGCATAAAGTTTTTTTAATATATTGTGTGCTACTTATAGAAAAAGCAGTGGTTTAAATTATGCTTTCATAGTGTTGCCTACTTGCATGAACATGGTTTTATTGCTTCTAAGCAGACTGAAGTCTATGACTTCTGGTAATAATCATTGAATCTGTTTTAAGGGAATATTTTGGTAAGTATTTATGTGATACACTCAAGGTACTACGTGGGGAAATGGGCTTTTTTAGTTGGAAATTATACATGATTAACCAGCATGGATTGCTTCTTGACCTGCTTGTTTTGTTTGTCTTTTTCTTCTAATATAATAACCCAGGAATTAATGAAAATCAAGTTTCATCCTCAGACAAGAGGTAAAGTGGTACTGTTTCACACCCTGTCCCCACACCCTGTCAGAAAAGAAACCCACACAGATGTCACTGAAGCTCATTTAGCAACAGTGGAGCCGGTTCCCTGAGAGACAGGTTGCTGGGCTGTTGCAAGCGGCAGCCAACGTGTGGGGGCGTGTGGGTCATGCTGGGGCTTTTCCCCTTAGATATATTACATAACCTTTAAGGATAGAGAATTAGCATTATTTTGAGGTATTAAATAAAGGCTGGTGAAGAGCAGTGGCTCTCAGATTTCCTGGTCTCAGGACTCTATGGTGTCCGACTTAACAGAAAACAGCTCACTTCTCATCCATTTCTGTCTTCCTTCTGTTCTGATATTACACATCACATAGGCTCTGGAAAACTCTACCGCGTGCTCTCGAGAATGAGAATAAAACAGGCAGATAACATTATAATGAAAATAGTTGTGCCCTGACAGACCCCATGAAAGGGTCCCTAGGTGCAAATTTGGGACACACTAGTGTCAGGTAACATTTTATTATGTAGAGTCAGTTCTTTCAGCCCCACTGAAATAGGTATTTTTCTCTTGACATTTTTATTTTCCAAAGAAAAGCATTGTTTGACTTTTATTTGTTCTGTACTTTATTTTTCAGGTAAAGAAGAAAAATTCAGCTAGCTGATTCTGTTTTTAGCGACTGCTGTCCTTATCGGAAGAAATTGTTGGTCCATTGTTTAAATTACTAAAGACAGCAAGATATTTGTAAATTATCTTACAATAAACTACTCACCATAAGAAAATCACTGTCTTGTCTTATTATAGAAGAACAGCAGTTTTCAAGATGAGATGTTAAAATATTTTGAGGTATTAACGTGGTGCTACTAACATGTCTTAGTGAGAAAGTAGTTGAGGAGGCCTTTCTGATTTTCCAGTTCCCTGACAACCTTCAGAAGCCTAGCCTCCTTGGGGTCGGTGTGGAAGGAAGAGGTGCCTGACCACGACCTCAGCCCAGGCCTCTGCCCTCCTCACCTTCAAGAAACAGCCTGCCCCCTGAAGCACACAGAGCCATGTGCTGTTTCTCAGGTGCAGGAGGTAAGATTGCAGGCATACGCTAACTCTACATACATTTTAAAATCTTTTCCAAGGACCGAGGAACATTTCAGTAGGATATTTACTCCATATTTGCATTTAGATAACCGTTGAGGTTGGATGCCTGAGCTGTTCCACACAGCGAGCTGGCCACACCAAAATGTAAGGGTTTTTCCCTATTTAAAATAGAGAGCTTAAGTTTTTTTAAATCACAAAGTAATATCTTAATTACAGAACACTACAAAACTATTAAAAATATAAAAAATATAAAGCCATTCTCACTTAACCCTTTAAAGTATATTACTTTTAAAACCTGTTAAATTAATACACACGTTATTATTCTACCAACAACTATTCATAAAAGTGAACAATGAGTAATATAAACATGGAGCAGCAACCAGCAGCCTGTGCGGAACAGCACTGCCACGTCAGGAGGAGGCTGCAGGGGAAGACGGACCGAGCAGAACCTCAGAATCTTGTTTTCCAGCTTCCCTGAGATTGTCCAGGAGGACGGGGCTGTGGGGACAGCTGGACAGGCGAGCCCCAGGCAGCGCGATGCGAACCAAGCACAGACGCCTCTCAGGGGTGCCAGCAAGGGGTGGGGTGCCCTACTGGTTTATTTTGCTGCTTCAACTTAACTGTGGCCCACCCCCAGGTTCCAGGGTAGCAGAACACTTCTGGGAGGTGAATTGCACATTCCAGACAAACAGCACAGCAGAAGGAACACCAGGAATTTCAGCACCGTCAACATAAGTAACAAGGCTGAGCACTGCAGCTCCCCCAGGTCCTGAGCGAGGACAGCAGGAGGGGCTCACAGCCCCCGTTTGTCTGACTCTCTGCTGGTTGTTTTCTCGGGTGCATAACTGTCCTGGGTTTTCGCCCTCCTGAGGGTGCCCCTTGCCTTTCTCCTGGGCTGGGTCTCACTTCCTGCGCCGCACATTTCCCTCTTAGCGTATGCTTCTGCAGGTGGATGGAAGGTATACCTGTCAGGACCTTGCTTGTCTTGCAATGTCTGTCCTGGGACATTTAAGTGATGGTTTGCTTGGGTATGGATTCTGGGTTGGAATGAACTTCCCCTTGGAGTTTTGGAGGTATTTCATTGTCTTCTGGCCTCCGTGTGAGTTCAAAAGTCTTGAAGCCATTTTGATTTCTGAGCCTTCATGACACTTGTTCTTCTCTGAAAGCTTTTAGGTCTTTACCTGCGTTGCTCTGAAATGTCACAACGATGATCTTTAATGAGCATCTTTGGGCAAGTCTTTGTGAACTCAGATGAGTACACTTGATTATTGGAAGTGAAATCAACGACTCAGACTATGTACATTTTTAAATTTGATACTGCCAAATGGCTCCTGAAAAGATTGTAAGCTTGAATTAACAATGTATAAAGTTGAATCCCCCTGCACGCTGAAACTTTGTCTTTTTATCTTTAATGATCGGATAGGTGAAGAAAAGATCATTGACTACTCATTCATTGCCCGTTTTTATCTTTTTCTCATTGAAATATCAGAGTTCTTTGCATATGAGTGACAAACTCATTTGTGTTGCAAATTAGAAGTTTGTATAACTGCTTGGATGGGTAAGAATGTACTATCAATTTTTTAAATTTTTAAATACCATTATAATTAGCGATACATATAAAGGGAAGTAATTATGTGGAGGAAGGGCAGTTTTGTTAGAAATTTTGCACTTCTCTTCCACTACTCTCTAGCAGACTCAGCATAGGGTCTTGAGAAATAAAACTGAGCAAGGACTTAACTTTCCCAACCACACATGAGTGTCCTACGCACAGAACAGTGGTTAACAGCATAGCCCTTTGGACCAAACTGGGTTGGAAACCCATCTCAACCCTTATCAGCTGTGTGACCTTTGGCAAGTTACTTAACCTTTCAGTTTTATCATCTGTAAAATGAGGATTCAAGGGTACTTACCTCATCAGGTTATGAGGACTAAATGAGTCAATGTTTGCAAAATACTTAGCATCTGACGTGGGGTGAGTGGTATCTGTGATTAATGTTGCCTGATCTATGTAAGTGATCACTGATGTTCTGTGTATCAGCACTCAAATTCAGAAGATACGACGGTAATAATTAAAACACTTCCCTACAGTCTGGAGGAGCTTACAGAGCTTACAGTCCGGAGCAAAGACAAGCAAATAAGGGGGAAAAATGTGACAAGGCTTTCTGGGGGGTTTGGGGTAAACTTTTATTGAAGTACGGTGTATTTACAGAAGAAGGTACAATTCGTAAGTTTATGTAAAGTATAAATGCTCACCTATCTACCATCTAGATGAAGATATAAAAAGTCCTATTATTACAGAAGCCTCTTTTGTGTCCCTGCCCTTTTATTGTCTCCACAAAAGTCCCCATAATCATGACTTCTGTCACCACAGATTTGTTTTGATTTGTTAAGTAAACGGAATCATACAGTATGAAGCCTTTTGTGTCTGCTTTTAAAAAATTGGACATTATGTCTGTGAGATTCATCCCTTATGTGTACAGCAGCTTCTTTTTAAATTGTTTTATATGACAACACATAAACATCTTCCAGTTTAGTAATTCTACTGTTGATGGGTTTTTAGGTTATTTCCAACTTGGAATCATTCTAACTAATGCTGCTGTAAATATTTTGCACATCTCTCTGGCCGTCAGGGTCTTTGGACCCTGTGTCCTCCTGATGGGTCTGTGGATGCTCGGCACTCACCTCTCCCCAATTGCAAGCTACGCCTCTTACGTGAGGTTCTTGCTTCCTTGCGTCCACTGTCCTCCTCACCTCTAATGCATCCTCTTTTTAAAAATTACTCCTCTATTGATATGGAACTCACACGCTGTAAAATTCACCTCTTTCCAGTGCACAGTTCAGTGGTTTTCAGCACAGTCCCAGGGCTGTGCTCTAATCCACTCTCCGTACTGTCGCAAGATGAGTGGTTCTAAAGGCATTTCTTCCTTGAGCGCTGCCTACCTGCTGGGTCTGTGCTGTATATCGGTCATTTACTAGTGAAAGAGATGAACACAGTTCCCGCCCTTCTGAAGTGTACAGCAAAGAACAGAGAATGATGAGGTTAGCTTTGACACACATCACCCATTAATTAAATCTGAGTTGTACACGGGGTACCCCAGCAGACATGAGTCGTCTGCTGGATGCAGTCAGCTACACTAGCATGAAGCTCAGGAGAAATGCGGGGTAAAGTGTTGTCTTAGCGAGTCATCTTTATAGAAATAATCATTAAAACCAATGGAGTGAATCATGTGAAAAGAGAACAAACATTTAAAAAAAGATCAGTCAAAGGCATTATAGGACAAATCTCTGATGTAACTGAAACCAGGGTTCTCCCTTTGGCAGGAGGGAGTGCAGATATGAAATGGGAGGAGGCGAGGAAGAGGCGTTTTTAGATTGGACTCAGGCATCCGTATGTACTCCAGACCTTTAAAAGTGTCTCATATTTTTCAGTCCTGTCCACTAAGAGGCCCCTCAAGCAATGCTACCCCTGTGGTCATGGAAGTCAGCCAGTGCTTGTATCTTGGTTTCTAAATATTATTCCTAAGAACCAGGGCCCCTTAGAGAGACGGCTGAGTCCAAGTCTAGGGCAGGACGAGCACAAGGCAAGTCTAGAGAATCTTGCGCCACAAAGGACGGAAACGCTGAGTGAGCGAAAGTGATGTGTTCACAGCACACGGCAGCTGGCCTGAAAGGGCCTCCACCGGCCAAATACGGGCCAGTTTGAGCATCTGAAGAATCACGATGGCAAAGCATTATATAACTCGCTGAATGAAAAAGAATCCCTGACCACACGGTGATAATAGAAAAGGGGAGGGAACTTTGTAGCAGGTCTGCTAATAAACACAGGGAGAAACATAATAGAAAAGTCACTGCTTTGTAACCACCGGTGTAATCACTGAGCCAGTAAGAGATCAGAGTGAATGCTCATAAAACCACGGCGCGAGGTTGAGGGGTTGTGGAGAAGCAGGTGATCTGCATTGTCTCAAAGTATCACCTCACAGATGACTTATTAATTTCAGAGTTAAAAAAAAACGAAAAAAAAAAGGAGACCTTACAATGGAGAGAGATCTGGCAGATAGCACCCTTTACAAGTGACCAGACTTTGCCACCAATAACGGGACAAGCCGCTGATGTCACACAGCAGGACGGTCAGATCACCTTGTTGGAGTACTCTCGCCAAAACTAACTTAAACTTAATCGAGCCAGAAAGTAATCAAAGACTGTGAGACATCCTAGTAAATTACTGCCCAGAGCTTTGCCAAAACATAAACGGCACGAGAGACAAAAACAAACAAAAAAACAACAAACAAGCAAAAGCCATAAAACAAAAAACCAGACAACTAGGGGGACTGATCTTATTACAAGAGAGTGAAGAGACATGACAACTAAGTGCCATGAATGGCCCGATTAGATCCTGGACTTAAAAAATTAAAAAGCTGTAAGAGGCACTTGGGGCCAGGGGTAAATCCTGAGTATGGACTCTGTGTTGGGTAATGCTATTGTATCAGTCTTGTGTTTGTTGAGTGTGATAATGGGGTTGTGGGGTAACAGAAGTTGTGATGCCCCTCCCGAACCCCCCGCCCCCGCAGCTTCCAGGACTGTGGGCAGCACATAGCCCTCAGCTGTCAACCCTCTGTGGACTTGGCTCAGCTGGAGACCAGCTTGCCCAAGGTCACGGCCCACTCCTGGGCAGCCCACCCCCAATGCCTGATCAACATGGGTATAAAGCCAGGCCCCCTTGCCTGAGCTCAGGATGCTGGTGAGGGGCATCCCACTCTCCGTGAGGTTTGCTGAGGTCTTCCTTGAGGGGCTGGGCTGCAGCCCAGTGTCTCCCTCCCTCAACTGGACTCCTTCCCTTCCCTGGCTGGGGATCCCAAGAGCACCTCTCTGCAAGCCAATTGCGTCTCAGAGACTGCTTCCTGGGGAGGTGGCCTTGGGACATCATGTACTGAAAGGGCTTGAGGGAGTCAATGCCAAGACGGGATTTGGGAGCTGGACCAGTCACCTGGCTGCCACAAAGACTTCTGTGCTGGTGGTAGATGGAGGTGAAAAAAAAAAAAGAAAGAAAACCCAGGCACAAGGTGGTTCCTGAATGTGCAAGTTGTAAAACGTTTCCTGGCAGCGACCTGTGAACTGGGGTGGAGTAACTGTGGAAACAAGCAGGTACCATGTATCATCGTTTAGATATTCCAGCAATGTGGGGATAACAGGACCCAAAAACAGCAGACGCCAGGTGGCCACGCTCAACTGCTTCACGGTCAGAAGCCAGGTGAACGCAAATATGATGAGAAGAGCAGGGGCAGGTGAGTCGCCTGGTGAGTAACGGGGACCATTCACAGAACAAGGGGTCCCTGGGGTGAACAGATGGGCAACTGGCAAGTGGGCCCCTCATCTGTAAATAGTTCAAAGATGGGGAGCTGAGGGCAGTCGCCCCAATAACCAGCCAGGATCTCTTGCCAACGTCTGGATCTGAGCCAGTTTTCAGACTGATGCTCTAGAGTCTTGAGGAGGAAGGACCCTGCTAAGCAGATGGAGAGAGTGATGGTTCCCTTGCTCCAGCCGCAAAGGATATTCACTCAGGTAACCGCCCACGGGGGAATGGGAGACCCACACGTTCTGAGGACTGCTGAGCATGGGGGCTGAGCAGGGACTGACACCAGGAGATGAGTCGCTATGGGCCCCCAGTCCGAGTTGGGCACGTGAGGCCAAGTAATAAATGGAGCCTTGGCCCAGGTCCGGCTCACACCGGGTCCCCCGGGTTGATGGACCCAACCATGGCTGAGTCCCTGATTCCTGAATGTGCAATTGGAACAGACATACGGGGAAGCTGGTGCAACCCCCACGCTGGTTCCCTGGCCTCTGGGGTAAGAACTATGGTGGTGGGAAGTCTGAGCACAAACTTTTGAGATTCGCTTTCCAGCTCGGGGGAGGAGGAAGGCAGAAATTAGTGTAGTCTTACAGATCTGAGGAATGTGGGGGTTGCGGGGAGGGACAGGACAGGGGAAGGGAAATTAAGAGGGACAAACCACTAGGTATAAAATAAGAGACAAGGGTGTAATGTACAGCACAGGGAATACTGCCAATGTTTTATAATAACTATATGGAGTATAAACTATAAAAATCTTGAATCCAGGTTAACTGTCATAAAGTTTGCAACTTATTTCCAAACTGTTCTGGAAAAAGGGGAGGTTTGTGTGTATGTATATGTACATATATATAGTAAATGTGGCAAAATAGTAAGTGGTGAATCAAGGCGATGTGTGTACCTGTGTTTATACCCCTCTGTTTTAACTTTTCGGCAGGTTTGAAATTTTCCATAAAAGATTAAGGGGTTAAAACACACACAGAGAAGTAATATAAGATAAAAGGAGCCTCCAGAAGTAGTAAATGAACAGAAGAGACTAGGACGTTGTGAGATCCAAGGTACAAGTTTCAAAATTAAGGTAGTGTTCAATATTATCAAATGGCTACAAAATGTTCAAGCAAGGCTAGGGCTGAAAAGTGTCCCATAGATTTATCATCCTGAAGGTCCCTGATAATATTGGGGACAAAAATGTGAGTGGAGAAAATATTATAGGCAGCCTGCCACCTTGTTCCTTATCTGCAGGTTGTCATTTAGCAGAAGAATTATATTTTCCATTCTATTGGGTTTCTGGGACTTAAAAAAAAATCGGTATTATGTTCAAAGTTCTGGAATGGTCCCTATAAAGGGAATGTAGAGCCACTCAGAAACCCACAATTTATTGGAGAGGCACATAAACTCAGACTAAATGCACTGTGACAGGTACAACAATAGAGAAACACAGGAGAGGAGGGGAAGAGAGGAAGGAAGGCTCCAAAAGCCTTTAGAAGAATGAAAAAGCACAAAAGGGTAAGGAACTGAGTAGATGAGCCCTTACAACCTGGCTGCCCGTAGGCTCAATCTGGCTTAACCATGGGATTAGTTTGGCTTGCAAATTAAACCTTTAAAAATGTATTCCCGATATTTAAAAATCGAGCTATTGATCACAAAATCCCGATTTCCCGCAATGTGTTAAGATCTGGCAACACTTGGCTGCAGCTGGGAGAAGACTCTGGAACTGGCAACAGCTCCCCATACACTCGGCCTGCTTTGCTGATTTAAGGGCTTCCTAGACATCCATAGGCAACTTGGGTCCTCTCTTCCTTTGACAGAGGAAAACTTCGGCCTACGGGCATGCCATCCGTTTTGGTAAAGTTTTACTGGAACCAGGCCTGGGATTAGAATGAGGTGAGGGAGGCAGGGATTTGAGGGGCAGTGGTTTGGATTTCTAAATGATTGTATTAAAATCTGCTTGATCTTGATTACGTTTTCTGCTGCCCCACACATTTTGCTCCGAGGCCAGTGCCTCCCTAGCCACACCCTCCACCCCGCCCTATTGTGAAAGGATTTGAATGGCAAGCTTAACAGCTTGGCCTTGATTGACTTACACTATGGTAAACAGCTCTTTTCTTCCTTTTTTCTTTCTTTTCTTTTTTTTAAAGCAGACGCATGCACGCATCACATCCGCGTTTGCAGGAGCTCTTAAGTTCCCACGTTCCAAATCCTGTCCCTGCAGTCACAGCCTCTCGGGTTCCCACTTCTAACACTAGCATTTCAACTTCATATCCTGGCTCCCTCCTCAACCCCTAGACCACCCACGGTCCCCTCCCCCTTCCTCTCCGAGCGAGCACCCCAGGAAGGCCCCGAGCACCTGCCTCCTCCGGCACAGCCTCCACCTGCGCTCCGCGCCGCCGTTTCCTGCGTCCTCCCAGGCCCGAGAATCGATACCGGAGCCATCGCTCCTCCCCCAACGGGGCGGGGCTTCCTCTTGGGCGCGCTCCGCACTCGGCTAGTGCTGCCTCGCCCCGGCGACCATCCAGCGGGAGGCGGAGCGAGTCCAAAATGGCGGCTCTCAGGCTGGCGCGCTCCGTGCTGCTGAGGCTTTGAGGTGGTCGCCAGGGGTCGGGGGGACGATTTCCCCGCCGCGGGGGCCCTAGAGGATGAATCGGGAGCCCTGCTAAGGTTAGGCGGCGGGGCTGGAGAGAAGTGGCAGCAAGGACTGCGGTGGAGTCCACGGAGCGGGATGTGCGAGAGTTACTCCAGGTCGTTGTTGAGGGTCTCGGTGGCGCAGATCTGCCAGGCGCTGGGCTGGGACTCGGTGCAACTGAGCGCCTGCCACCTCCTCACGGACGTGCTGCAGCGCTATCTGCAGCAGTTGGGACGGGGCTGCCACCGCTACTCTGAGCTGTGTGAGTACCGGGCTGGGTGCGGGAGGGCTGCTCTGGCCGGTCACGAGTGACACCTCCGCTCTCCCCTGCGCTCTCCCGGCGTCTCCGAGGTGTCCGTCCTTCCTCCCCCATCCCGAGATCGGGTATCCTCCCGGCCCAGGACGCCCCTCCGCTTCCACTGCCCCCTGGAAACTCTAGTCATCCCTTTGGTGCCTCTTCGCCAGCCGCTAACTTCCCACTTCCAGCCGGAGCCGCGTCTCCGCTCCCCGCTCCACACCCTCTGCCCTCCTCTCTGATCTGAAGTGTGCATGGCTCTTAATCATCGTCTCATTTTTGCTGCGTGTACAGCCACCTCCAGAATGCCTCGAGCCTCTGTTACTTTGGTCCTTTTCCTCCCTTCCCCGCAAACTACTACAACTAGTTGTCACAGGCGCTCCGTCTACCGGCCGTTTCTTACAAGGCTGGCCATTCTTCAGCTCCTGACAACACATACTCGTTGACAGCTCTGCTCCGTTAGGGACACTGCCTCTTCTTTCTGTATCTGTTCATTTCATAGACAGCATCTCTGCTTAACTCTCTCCGAAGGCTAGCCTTGTCAGTTTCATTGAGATCAACTTTCACTTACTTCTCAGTCACTCGTTGATTTCCTCCTCTGTATTTTTATGTTATCAAAGTGTGATAGAGAGATCATAGGCAATTTATAATGTTCCCCAGTAATCTGGGCAACAGTACATGGTTTTTAAGTGAATGTCTGGTAGGATCTGTAGCCGGTGGCATTGAATAAGTTGGAATATTTAATAGAAGCAACACATCTCATTGATGTGGAGTGTGTGTGTGTGTGAAGGGGGAACTACCCCTCATTTAAGGTTCAGGGCATTCTTTTTAAGGTGGTAAACTGGAGAACCAGGTGAAGTGTTTTACAGGATATTTTGTTTTGTTCAGGGTTGTTAGATGGAAAAATTTGAGACCCACGGATACACTTTACTCCTTAGGCCCCAGATTCTATTCCAGCTTCCAGAGTGCTGTCAGAATGATCTGTTAATCTGTCCACAGCACAGATCTGATCATGTCATTCTTAAAAATACTTCAGTTGGTTTCCAGGCAGAAAATCTAAACTCTCCAGCAGCGCACACTTCCCTTTGTGAGCTAGCATTCTGCTTATCTTCTGCCATCCTAATCTGCAGCCATGCTGAGCTACCTGCCTTTTCCAAAACACTTTAAGCTACCTGGTCCCACTTGCATGCTGTTTCCTCGCGTGTCCCTTCCCCTCAGTCCACTAGTAGTACTACTTCTATTTTGAGATTCTCTTATCACTTGCTTTATTCACTTATCACTCACTCATGCTATCTGTTCTCATAATTCTGTGTGTATTTCTGTTGTGTTGTTGAACACCTTGTTTTGTAATCATCTGTGTATATCTCTCACCCCTTCCTCCCTCCTCCCCAGGAGATGAATTTATTATATTTGTATTCTGTAACCTACTGCACAGCCATAATATAATAGGCACCCAGGAAATATCTGTTGAATAAGTAAATGAACTGATAACCCACTGCCAGAATTGCTGTTTAATCCTTTCACTTTCCAAGTTTTAAAAATCTGTATCTTTGAAATGCTTGCTTTCACGGATACTGCTAATCTGAATTTGGAACTGCCTTGGAGCTCTCAGATATTATTCTTTGGAAAGGATACTATCAACACTGCCCTCCCTCGTGGTCCTTGAGTTACCGCATGGGTGGTCCAGATTATATTTTTGCTACCAACTTCCCTAAATAAGGACAGATGTTCTGTACCTTTAGGTAATCAAAGTATCCCCTGAATACATAGTTACCTTTCCTGCCTCTTACATGGGAGCAGATGAGTGCTGGCGCAACAAGGAACCAGGCGTTCCAGAGTCGTCGGGTGATCACTGTTTTGTGTTCAGTGTGAACCTCAATATGATTATGAGGATCGTTATTCCCCGTTGTGGTTTGCTGAGTTTTAATTTTTTTTTATTTTTTGTTTAATCTTTTATTTTTTAAATTGTTTTTGGGTGACTTTAAAAAAATACTAATTCCTGGTATACTTATTAGTTACCGACTTTTTAAGGTTCTTTTTCTACACTGTTCTTACTTTAAACTGGAACTCTGTAACATGAGGCCACCACTATGCAAGCTTGTATTCTATACTTGAAGTCCTTTGTCTTTCTGAGGAACATTTACTGAGCATCACTCATGATCAGAGCTCTGTGCTATGTGTTGGAGACATAAGGTGACTTAGGCACACTCTTTGCCTGTAAGGTGTGTACAAGGGTGTCAAAATGTCAGCCAAAGCACACTGATGGTATTGATTCCTTTTTTTTTTAAAAAAAAGGGCTCTCAAGTCAAAGCAAGTATTGAAAGTTACTACTCATTCGGCAGATAATGCATTTTCAGATACCCTAAGGTCAGGATTTGTCGGAGCATTCAGGGGCAGAAGCCTCTGCGTGCATCAGATTGCTTGGTATATATTGCCTGTCTGCACTGAAAGTGGTCCATGGAACAGAATAAATGCAACAGGAGGGCGGAAACCGAGACGCATGTGCGCTGTGGGTCTGGGGCAGGATTCATGGGGAAGATGAGATGTGAGTTGAGCTGTGGAGCAGGGGCTTGACGAATGTAACCCATTCCTTTGGAAGATGTTAGAGGAAAATGTTAAATGGAGTGAAGTCTGGCTGCGGAGGGACTTGACAGATAGAGAAATTACCACGTGACAGAAAACACTGCATACTCCTGCGGAGGGGGATAGTGTGGAGAAAGTGATACTTTAAGAAAACTGTGCTGTCCGTGAAGTGCAAGAAAAACTCAAGTTGGGGAGCGCTTGAAACTATACTGAGATAACAGAGCAGGAATAGAGAGAAAGGGAAAATTTTGCAATCCAGGGCCAGAAGCAGTGGTGCCGGGGGAAGTACCAGAAGGTACTTGAGTTGAAATTGCAAAAATATAGAGGAATTCAAGGTGATCACATCTTTTAGACTGGGGAAATAATGCTTTTAATAAGAATCGAAGAGTTGAAATGCATGCCTGTCATTAAGAGGAAGAATGAGTGTTAATTTTACTCTTTTTTTTATATCTCAGATGTAACCCATACTTGTATAAGAATTCAAAGATTACAGAATCTTTGAAGTTAGAAGTGAAAGTCTCCTGCTCCACCTGTTCCCTTCCCCTGTTTTGCAGCTTTCAGCCCTGTAAACTGTTCCAGTTGGATGTCCATACTTCCAAGAACAGTTTTTATGTGCATGTGAGCAAGCACGTGTCTAATTCTTACAAACTTTGGATTATTCTTTTCCATTTTACGTCATGATTTAATTTCAGACAGACTGAGTTTGAAGTGATTGTAGGAGATTACAGTAAAAAAAAAAGGCTATTTATTGGAAATCAGGAACTAAAATCTTCACGGAAATTTTAAAAGATGTAGAGATCTTGAGTTCTGTTAAGGACAGGCACAGGAGACACTTCCTTTTGTAAAAAGAATCTCACTGCATCTAACTTACTGCTTTATCTCTACCCATTTTATGTGGTGTCTTCTAACTACATTTAAATTTTATATGTAAATTGACTTTATGATCCACATCCTTTCTGTGGATTTTCATGGATTTAAAAAATTGATTCAGTGGTACAGTTCATTCAACAGATGTTTATTAAGTGCCAACTATATGCCACCCACTGTTTTAGCTTCCAGAGTTGCAACACTGAGCAACAGAGAAAATGTGCTGGACATTTACCTAGCTTAGCGTTCTACTTACTTGATTAAAAAATAATAATAGTGGTATTTATCAGGCATACACTTTGTGTTGGCCACCGTTCCAGGTGCTGCTGGCCTTCTGTAGGTTCCATTTGACGTTAGTTCTACTAGTTGATTGTTAGTGTGAATTGTCTGCGGCGTTCTGGTTGGTTGGTAGGTTGTATTTGAAACTGACTTTAGGAGTCAGCTTTCTAATGTTTAAACAGTACAGTGTTCTCTATTTCAAATCTATTAAATTCTTTTTGATAGCTAGGTCTTAAAGGTACAGTATATTTGATTCTGTGCTGTGTATTTACTTAATTCTTTTTTCTTAGTGTTTTTAAAATATTCCACGGAATTTTCTTAAAATAATTTGCTTTGCTTTTGGCTTTGTTTCAGATGGCCGAACAGACCCCATTTTGGATGATGTTAGTGAAGCTTTCCAACTTATGGGGGTTAGTCTTCATGAACTAGAAGACTACATTCACAATATAGAACCGGTGACTTTCCCGCATCAGATCCCTTCGTTTCCTGTTAGCAAGAACAATGTGCTTCAGTTTCCTCAGCCTGGAAGTAAAGATGCAGAGGAGAGAAAAGAATACATTCCTGACTACCTGCCACCCATTGTGTCTTCTCAAGAAGGTTTGTGATTTTTTGTTGGTCTGTCTGTTTCTCGCTCAAATGTTTGTAACTATTTTAATGGGTTTTTATCACCTCAAGTTTTCCTAATTGAATTATATAGAACGTTCTGCCAACATATACATTCTAGAAATGCAGTTAAAATATTTTAATATCATTTACAAATTATTCTAAACTTTAAGCCCACAAACTTGCCTCTGGCCTCTCCAGGCAGAGCTGCGGAATCATCAGTATCACGTCTGATGGGGCCTGGGTTTATTTCCTCTGTAAATTTTAAGTAGGAGAGAACACAGTGTGAGCACAGGGAGAAGCCTTTCAGCACACGTGTTCTATGAGAGTGGGATATTCAGTCATTTAGAAAATCTTTGAAACATGAAGAAAAGTTGGAATAATTCTCCTCTCCCTCATTATAAAGGTGAGTTGGGTGATCCTGGAAACCGTGAGTGAGTGAACTTTCACTAATATTATGCAGATTTATCTGCGTCTTCATGATGAGTAGAAATGTGTAGGTTTGGTCATATGGAATTTTTATTATAAAGTAATGCCCAGTCAGGCATGGTCGTCAGTTGGTGCAGAGCTCCTGTCTTCCTCAGGGTTTACCTGTTGATCATTGAAGTTCATTAAGATTCTAGAGATACAGGTGTAATTTGTGGTCTCTGATGCAGGCACAAAATATTTTTTCTTGTTAAAAAAAAATGGAAAGGTGGCCATTTCTTTCTTAAAATTCTAAAGCCGTAGATGTACTTCAAGATAATATGCAAATGACGGCAGAAATAACTTTACGCTTTTTTTTAAATTGACGTACAGTTCAGTGGCATTGAGTCCTTTCTCCTTGTTACGCTACCAGCACCGCCATTCATCTCCAGAACTTTCTCATCTCCAGCCCTGTACCTGTTAAGCACTAACTCCCTGTCCCCCATCCTCTCAGCCCCCCACAACCATCATTCTCATTTCTGTCTCTCTGAACTTGACTGCTCTAGATCCCTCATGTGAGTGGAGTCTTATCTTGTGTCTGGCTTACTCCACTCAGCGTAATGTCTTTAAGATTCATCCATGTGGTAGCATGTGTCAGAATTTCCTTCCTTTTTAAGACTGACGAGCTTTAGACTTCGAGTAAGTTGTTCTACAATCTGCGTGTCAGTGTCGCCTCATCCAGGAAACTGGATGGAAACTGGCCTAAGCTGGAGAGATCTGTCATGGCTGTTGCGTGGGCATCAGACAGACCCCCTGGGTCTGGGTGCAGTGGGCTCTCTTAATCGAGCTGGTGCTGTAATCAGACGTGCTGAGGGTGTCGCACTGTATCCGTGCCTGGTGACAGCACCATGGGTGTGGGAAGAACTTGGTGGAACCCCTTGGAAAGTTGTCATAGCTTTCTGGTTTGAGTCCCTTGGAAAAAGACTCTGCTTGGCAGCTTAGCACTTTTCTCCTTAAAGTTCTTAGGGATTTAATTCTGGCCGAGCAATCAGTATCACCGGTGCTTTGTACAGAGCGAGCCTTCAGTAAATGTTCTGAACTGAGTTAAATTAAACGCTATCTGTGGGGCCTTGTCTACAGAAGTTCCTCCTTTCCAGGCCTGATGGTACAGTAACAGCAGGACTTGGAACTCTCCAGTGGCATCTCCATCGTCCCCAGCTTCCCTTGGTAGCTGCCAGAAGTCTGTCTCCTCCCCACATTTGAATTATTTGTAATTGTAGCCTTTATTACCTTTGAGGAGATCTTACTGTTTATGACCCCCTCCATAAAGTCGTTCCCTTTAAACCCCTCGTTCCCTAATGTCAGTGTTTTGTTTTGTTTTGTTTTTGGTGGGAGGAGGTAATTAGGTTTCCTTATTTATTTACTATTAGAGGAGGTACTGGGGATCAAACCCAGGACCTCATGCACGCTAAGCATGTGCTTTACCAGTTGAGCTACACCCTCCCCCCTTAATGTCAGTGTTTTTGATCTTAGAAACCTATATTTATTCCAACTTCTTTAAACGTGGATTTATTTACTTTAAAAATACAACAAATGCATTTCAATAGTAACATGATCAGAGGAGGATTTCTTGGGCAGAGGCCTGGCAGTCAGTGCCCTAAGAACTCTCTCTCTCTTACAGACGGGTTGTCACTGTCAGGAGCCTGGGATTTCCTTCTCTGCTGTTGTCATTAAATGTGGCTTATTCAGCATCCTAGACCTCTTCAAGAAAGTAGCACTAAGATAGTCCACGGTGTGTCCTCTTGTGCTTTAAGAAGAATCTGTGAATGGCTCTGAAATTTGTAGCTGAAAGGCCAGTTGGAAGGACACAGAATTTGGAATTGTTCTAAGAAAACATGATCGCTCATCAGACGCTGGGAGAAAACTTAGGGCATTGTGTAGGAGGAAACCAGAGGAAAGACAGTGTTGTACATAACCAGCACATCAGTGGTGCCTGGACTGATGTGCGCTTAGTATCAGTGAGTTAGACTGCGTTGCTGTGGGACAGCCGAGACGTGTGTGTGACACCAGCTGGCACGTGGCTGAGCTGGAACTACTGTCTTCTCCATTTACAAAGTTTCAGCCCATTTGCTCTGTGCCATCGGGAGCTTTCCAAATCTAACTGCTTTGTAGTCTTCGTATCATTCTGTCTCCTGTTATGCCTCCTGTTTAATAGTTAAATTGTTTAATATTTTTCTGGCCTTTTAAAAAATTTGGACTCAGGCCAGAAAAAAAAAATTGCACTCAGCTTTGATTAATCTCAGTTCCTGGTTCACGCACAGGTTCACCTTTGGTCTGTGCATAACTTGCATTTATTCATTTAGAGAGTCATTTAATTATTTTTGACAGTGTAATGAGCCCTCCTGAGCTCACTCCTCAAAGCCCAGGCGGGGACTTTGATGATAATCTACGCTTAGCCATTTGGTCCCTCTTGTTTTATTTTTATGGCGCTCAGATAATACACAATGAAATTTTCTCAAAGTGATACAGTTATCATGTTTAAATCCTGCCAAGGAAATGTAACTGAGATAGCACATTTATACTGGGTGGTGAAGGAGTATGAAAAACAATTCAGTGATTTTAGCTACTGACTTCAGTCTGAAATTACCATAGTAAATTTGTGAGTTTCTCTTCTGGATTATTTGAAGCAAAAGAAGAATCTTATTTCATTTGAAGTTTTATACAGTATAAATTATAAACATTTTAAAAGGAAAATAACATAAGCCTGAACACTTTTTTCAGCTAACACTTACAGATTTTCTAAGGAGCGGAAATACTGCTGATTCATACGATATGCATATGGTTCATGAGGACGCAGTGACGACAGACAGCACTATAGGGTGCTTATCAGAACTTTTCCCCTGTCCAAGGAAAAGGACATAAAACACAGTCCTGTGGTTACCAATATAGCCACCCAAGTCAACTTAATAAGTCATTTACAGTCTGAAATCTTTTTTTCCAGGGGCATAGCTTGTTAGAAAATGTCAAGTATTCCGGTTAGTGGTGCAAAGTGTGAGAGACTTGAACAGCTTTGATAGTCACACCTGTTCACCACGTTCTTTTTTTGCTCTTATTTTCTTAGGTTTCCTTTATTACAGTTTTTAATCCCTGTTTCAGCTCAGATCGTCCTCCTTTTGGCCAGTGGCAGCTTTTTCAAATTGACTGCCAAATCCTTTTGACAGGATGCTAGTGGTCTCTGACAGTGCCCTGGCCACCTGCTGACTCACATGTCCCAGCTCATCTTGAATATAGTCTTGTGTCCCACTTGGAATCAGTCACTTTTCCAAGAAAGCTCTGGCTTCTTGGGAAATGACCGCTCAAGTCCACAGTCTGGGCAGGTGTGGTATTTACTACAGCTGGGCCAGTCACTGTTTCTAGGCAATAAGTAAATATTTATATCATATATATATGTACAGATGTGTGTAGCTAGATCGACAGATAAGAGATAAAGCACCTCAGGCGTTTGTATAGATATTTCCAACTCAAAGTCGTGACTAGAGGGATTTTGCTTTTTGTGTTGCGTCAGTAAATACTTCTGTTCATAACAAGAATTCTGGTTCCCAGGGGTAAAGAAGACACTAGAGTTAGAACATTCCATAATAACTCATTTGCCATACCCCAGGTTACAGTTCCAATTTCTCGAGGAAAACCAAAAATGTCTATAGAGAGCGGTTTCTTTTTTTCATTTAGGAATAGCTTTAATCATTCTCGAGAAAAGATGTTTATTCTTCTAACTTAGATGACTTACTAAAGAATGGAAGACTGTCAATGAGGAAATTTGCACAGCTTTTCAGTCACTAAAATCTTCATATTTGTGTTTATTTGTGAATAGAAATACAGACCTATGCTCGCTGTCACACAGTGAATTTATAAGCACCCGTAAAGGCAGATGCTGTTACACTCCCATTTGGCAGAAGGAGAAGTGGACGTTCAGAAAAAAAGGTCCAGTCAATTGACGTGCCTTGTGTCACGTTGTGCACCGGGGGCAGAGCTGGATTAGGACTGAGTTGATTCTGCCTGGTGCCGCATGTGTGGATATCCACTGTGTCCCGTCCTACACGAGGAGCGGGGGTTGAAGGTCAAAAGGTGAATAAGATGACCCTTTCTCCCTGCTTTTGGCCTTCCTTCTCTCTGTGGTTTTTGGAAATCTCTGCTTGGGCGGGGCCTTCCCAAGTGCAGTAGTACCAGCCTCAAGCCAGTCTTCTTAGTGGACAGGCTTACAGAGGCCTCCTGGCCTCCAGAGGCCAGCCTCGTGCCGTGCCCTTCCCTGGACGCTCTCAGGCTGTGCCCTCCTTACCTCCCAGGGCTCTAGTGGGAGGGTCTGGGCAGACTTTATTCTGTGCATCCAGGGTAGTTGCCTGGAGGCAGCCTGCTGTTTGTTTTTCTCAGTCCTACAGCATCTGAGCCAAGGGGTTACATCTGAAATGATATCAGGGGCCAAAGCATGGTGACTCAGCTCTGATGCCCAGTACAGATTTCTAAGTGGGAAGCTGTAGGGCGCTCCGTGACATGGCTTCTGTCTGCATGTGCATATTAACTTCCTGTCCCGA